AAAAACAAGCATTTTTCTAGTTTCATGACAACAAACTTGTGTGTTAGTGTTTGGATATTTCTGAAATTGTACTACAAGGTTTCATATCACAAAGGGAAAGCTGGAATTGAGTTTGGGGGTAATTGCCTGAAACGTTTAGGAATTGGGGGCCAAAAAGGGGCCAAAAATAAGCATTTTTCTAGTTTCAAGACAATAACTTGTGTTCAAGTGTATGGATCTCTCTGAAATTGTACTGCAAGGTACCATACCACAAAGGGAAGGCTGGGATTGAGTTTGGGGGTGATGAATCATAAGGGGGTTAAAAAAAATTGGGGGGGGGGGGATTTTTTTTTTTTTCTTTTAAAATTTTCCATTTTAAGTTGGTTATTTCTGATTTATAATTAAAAGCAAATAATAATGATATGGTAGGAGATACACACCAAACAGGATGTGTAAATTTTTATATAATAAGTATTGTGCAATAGCAAGAAATTTTCAATTGCACAGTATTGCACAATAGCAAGAAATCTTCAATTGCACAGTATTGCGCAATAGCAAGAAATCTTCAATTGCACAGTATTGCGCAATAGCAAGAAATATCCAATAGCACAATATTGCGCAATAGCAAGAAATTGTCAATTGTACAGTATTGCGCAATAGCAAGAAATATTCAATTGCACAGTATTGTGCAAAAGAAGATACTTCTTATAAATTGCTTATTTCTTGATCAATTTCAATGGGGTTTTATTCTTGAATTCTTGGGGTTCTTTAATATGCTGAATATAACCGTGTATTAAGTTTTTGGAGTTTGGGCCCTGTTTTTAAATTGGTCATCATTGAGGTCCAAAGGGTCCAAAATTTAACTTTGTTTGATTTCATCAAAGTTGAATTATTGGGGTTCTTTGATATGCCGAATCTAACCGTGTATTTAGATTCTTAATTTTTGGTTCCGTTTTCAAATTGGTCTACATTAAGGTCCATCGGGGTCCAAAATTAAACTTAGTTTGATTTTAACAAAAATTGAATTTTTAGTGTTCTTTGATATGCTGAATCTAAACATGTATTTAGATTTTTGATTATGGGCCCAGTTTTCAAGTTGGTCCAAATCGGGGTCCAAAATTAAACTTTGTTTGATTTCAACAAAAATTGAATATATGGGGTTCTTTGATATGCTGAATCTAACCATGTATTTAGATTTTTGGGCCCCGTTATCAACTTTGTCCACATTGAGGTCAAAAGGGTCCAAAATTAAACTTTGTTTGATTTCATCAAAAATTGAATTCTTGGGGTTCTTTGATATGCTGAATCTAACCATGTATTTAGATTTTGGATATTGGACCATAATAGGTAAATGTCCAATTTAAAATTTTTAAGTTCTTAGACCACATTCATTCTGTGTCAGAAACCTATGCTGTGTCAAATATTTAATCACAATCCAAATTCAGAGCTGTATCAAGCTTGAATGTTGTGTCCATACTTGCCCCAACTGTTCAGGGTTCGACCTCTGCGGTCGTATCAAGCTGCGCCCTGCGGAGCATTTTATTGTCTATTAACTTGAAAACTATAATAGATAGATAGACAGTTTAAATAGCAAAAATGACCAGCAAAACAAGATCTACAAATAAGACAAAAGCTGAAATAGTCTGTCAACTCCCTTTTGTGTTCTTGCTCTTTAATGATAAAATTTACCTTTTTTTTCCTGGTTGTTTCCTATTATCTTGAAAATTACGAAAGATACTTCAACACTTTAAATAGCAAAGATGATCAGCAAGAAAAGATCTGCAAGTAACTTAAATTTTCCGAAATCATTAGTAGACACTTTATCAGAGTGATTGCCCTTAAATAAGATAAAGAGAAACTGTAAACAGAAAAAAATATCAGCAATATAAGATCAACAAAACAGATTTTTGTCATGAATTCTATTCTAGTCCACAATGTTGGAGAGTGTCCATTGTTGAAGATGCACATTCACCTAGATGATCGACGCAGACTCCTTAGAGCCTCTAGTTAAGTCTTAGTTTCACAAGCTATATTAGAGTGATTGCCCTTAAATAAGATAAAGAGAAACTGTAAACAGAAAAAAATATCAATATAAGATCAACAAAACAGAGATTGTTGTCATGAATTCTATTCTAGTCCACAATATTGGAGCGTGTCCATTGTTGAAGATGCACAATGACCTAGATGAGCGACACAGACTCTTTAGAGCTTCCAGTTAAGTCTTAGTTTCACAAGTTTCTAATGCAAGATCTCAAATCTTCCATTTCTATTAGAGGTGAAAAATGGAGAATAGTTTCCTAAATTTAATTATTTTGTCTAGAACTCATTTGAAAACTTAATTATCCTCAGGAAATCATTAGTTTAGTAATCATGTTGTTTTCTCTCATTTACAAGACACAATTAGCAATTTTATTTACTATGTTTTTACCTTAAATAAAATAAGGTGTTATATTACAGTTGTTTATAGTTCTTAATGCTTGTAGTTCTGAAAATTTCAGACACATAAAGTGGAGTATTGTGGAGTTTTTTTTTCAGAAACATGTGTGTTACCTGCAGTGTGCATGCACTATGCCTGGATTACAGGTTCCTGGCTTGGGCCATGCACATAAACAATGGGACTGGGTCACACATTACCCCAGTGCTCAATCATATCCCTAAACTAGGACAGTGGAGTAACAGCACAACACAAGAAATAAAGTGTTGATGCATAAATGTGCCATCTGTATGTAATTTTAATAGTGAAATGAAAAAGTTTTAATATAAATGGTACCACTTTGCCATGAAACTATGCAAAAGTTTCAAAGTCAATAGAGCATGACAATTGGGAACAGGACTTTTTGACGATTTCCATAGAAATGAGATGTGCAAATGCTAATATGACTGCCTACCAAATATCACTGTCCTATCATTAGTGATTACTCTAAGTGACATAATAAAAAACTTGAACACTCAAACCATGCAGTAAGTTTCAAAGTCAATGGAGCATGATTGAGTGGCAGGGCGAAATAATTTACATGGAAATGAGATGTGTCAATGCTGATACAACAGCCTACCAAATATCTTTGAGCTACCATTAGTGATTCCTCTAAGTGACCTAATAACATTCTTAAAAATTTAAATAATGCAAAAGTTTCAGTCAATGGAGCATGACTGAGAAGCTGAGGCTAAACAATTAACTGTAAATTCAGACAATATTGTGAGGTTTTTAGCAATGCAACTGAGTGAGTATCTCAATAATAAGAACTCACATTCTGATATCCACTCGACAGTTATCCCTATGTCTCACATTCTTAGCAAGACAAAAATGGTTAAATCCATTGCGTATAGTTAACTGACAGTGCAAGACCCTTAAGGAAGTCAAGGTCGTTAAAAAACCTAATACCGGTAGTAGCTTATGGTTTTTTGTAATATTTTGAGACACACGACCTGACCTAGAAAACTTAACATTGATCACTTAATCATGAATTGAGGTGATCCCTGTATGACAGACATGCATCACTTTTTCTACATTTCAAATATTGTCCTGCTTCTCAGATTTTCTCATAATTAAAAGAATCAAGTGATAAAATTGCAGTTTTTTCCATATGAAGTCATGCAAAAATTCTAATCACTAGGGCATTAAGTATAAAGAATATTATATGTTATTTAGGTCTCTGGGAATATAATGTGACCTTTCAGGCTTTGGCTCAGGGAATAAGAATAAAAACACTGAATGTGAGACTACTGAAATTTTACCCCCAATTAATTTTGAGTCCTGAAATATTCAAATCCGTGGAGTACGGGAGGCATCTCTTGATATTCATTTCATAATAGACTTGGGGAATAAAAAGTCTTAAAGAATAAGCCAGTCACACATGAAAACACAAAAGGAAATAAAATAAAATTCTTCACAACATTTTCCATAAACAATTAAACTATGTTGAGTAACTGTTTGTGTAAAAAATTCAAGAATATTTTTGTAATTTCTCTTGTAAATGCGTCTTTGTTTGTAAAATGAATTTTAGAGGCAAAGAAACTCGGTTATATGTATTAATACATATTCATCGAATTTTTAATATTACTCTTCATTTTATAATTAGTCCTTGTCACAACTGTTTGTCAATACTCAAAGACACTGATAACCAAACAAATGCTGTAAAAGCATGACAATCCGGAATTTACTGGTAACATAAAATTCTAAAATATAATTATTCCCCTTTTGTCTCCAAGCGACATCAGTAAAGGCTAGAATATACTGACATCTCTGTAGTTATCCAATCACAAAACTGGACACATTTGTAATCCATAATATAAAATTGAGAATGGAAATGGGGAATGTGTCAAAGAGACAACAACCCATCCGAAGAGCAGAAAACAGCTGAAGGCCACCAATGAGTCTTCAACACAGCAAGAAAATCCCGCTACCAGAGGTGGGCTTCAGCTGGCCCCTAAACAAAAATGTGTACTAGTTCAGTGAAAATGGACGTCATACTAAACTCCAAAACATGTAAATGAACTAAAATTAAGAAACATACTACACATGATGACAATTTTGAGTCTGTAAGAAGTTATATTAACAAGTTGTTTATGTGCTACATTTATGGTATCTGGGAAAAGTGTAAACAAGGTGTCATTAGGTCATAAAACTCCCAACAAAAATGGTCAAATCAGAATGGCAGTATGGTATCATCTACTGCAACTGATGACAAACAATCGTATCAAGTATGAAAGCTTTCAGATACTGTAAATTCAGAAATTAATGCGATGTTTTTATTAATAATGTGACTCCTTGAGTATCGCAATAATAAGAACTCTGATATAGGATACATATATATGTATAAAGCTTTTCCTTAAATCAAAATTATTAAACTCAAACTTTTGTTAATCCTTAAAAAATTGCAATAATAAATGCACGCAGTAATTTCTGAATTTTCAGTAACAGTCTCGGTAAAGTTATGTTCAAACAGTGTGACCAGTAACAAATCGTTCTAGGCTATTACAATACCCCTCCTTCCCAGTGTGGCTGGACAATAGATAAACATCTTTTTTATTTCCATATTTTACTGATATAAAATATTTATCACAGATACTTTTAACAACTAAAACAAACATATAATTGCTGTAAAGATACTAAAATAAAGAGGAACCATATATGTATTTTTTTTTTTCATAAAGGATCAAATAAAAATAAGCTTCTAAAGTTAAAAAACATAAATTTCAAAATATTGAAAAAAAATTGTACTTATACTTTGAAATATTCATATAAAATTAAACATATGGATCATGAATAGTCTTTTTGAATTGTATTCATATTGTTCACACTGCATACATTTCCATCAAAATAATTCTTTCCACATAACAGGCTTTTGAATGGTAACATTTACAGATAAAGTGATTGTTCCTTGCTTGTGTAGAATGTTCTTATCATCTTTTCTTGATTACTCTTTATCCCTTGCTTAATTCCAAGAACTCAGGACTTTCAACCTTGATCTGCTTTTTTTGAAGGTTCGTGCATAATGTCTATTGTCATTTTTTATGGATTGTAAATTTCAGCTAATCTATTTCACATGATGCTAGCAATGATTGCAGTGCTTTGGCATAAGCTGAAAGGTAAAAGTAAAAGTAGAAATTATTATTGATATCACAGATGTTACAATACACAAATGCAAGAAGAAATTTTTGTAAGTTGAGTGTATGGGGTGGGTGTGCTATCTTGATTTTGATGAAAATGAAATTTGGCTAAATGCTGAAGTGCTTTAAACAACTGTTAAAATATAGAACTTCTTTTAATTATGTATTCTATTTGTCTTGTTGACCTGTAATTCTTATTAAGTCTTTCTGTACCTACTGATTTTAAGGGTAGTGATAACTTTTCATATTCTATCAAGTACTGTGAATTAATTTTTTTTTAAATCAAGCAAGCAAAATATTCATACAAAATGTTGTTTGGTAATAAGAGACATGAACATTACTGTTTCGTATTCAGAGACTTAAATATATGATGTATACCAATATTTACAACTATTAGGAAATATTATTACTATGAATGGTGTTGTTATAAACTTCCCATATTTTTTTTAAATGTTTTTTTATTTTATAGTAAATAATTTGATTGTAAAACAATATGAATATTTTTATAACTGTATCAAAACTATTGACCTTTATGATTTTTATAAAATACACAATTATTGGCACATGTATCAGGGTTTGTATCCCATAGAGTTTCTCCACAACAACACATAGCTGGGAGAAGCTTCCCTCTAATTCCTATCCTTTCTTTTAACTGATGTTTTAATGCTTCCACAAATCTGTAAAGAGAAAAAATCTTGTAATAAAAATAAATGTTTGCCATCATGTTTGTAGAATATTTAACTTCTTACAAAAATAATTTATTGACTGGTATTAACTGAAGGAACAAAATTGCTTCTAAAACAAACACGGACACTTGCTTAGGATATCATATTTTCTCCTTTTTAAAATATTCTTTTATCATCATTTAAGATATCACTAAAAAAGTAAAAATATCTCAAACCTCAATACAATGTAACACTAAGAATGAATATGCTACATACCGTCTAATATTTAAGGCTATACCTTTCATCATTTTAATTTATTGAATATTATTCTTATATAGGAATAAAAAATCTTGTTTACAAAACGCTAATTGAGCCTATTATATTAACTCTGGCACATGTTACAACAGAACTAATCTGCAGATGGACAAACTAAAGCTAGATCACCTAATATAAAAAACGAGATATGGTATGATTGCCAATGAGACAACTCTTCACCAAATGACTCTTACAAGTATGTAAGAACTTTCATATCTTCCAATTGACTATTAGGGGTTGACCCTATCCCTCTTTTTAAATATATAAACTTCTTATTTGCTTTATTTGTTTGATAGTGTTAGTCCACCTGGACCAATGAATTGAAGTTTAGTTTCTATTTATTAAAGATGTGTCTAAAATTTATACCTTTCCATTTCTCTCTGTTTTCTGATTCTCTGTTCATTTTCTTGTACTTTTTGGCGTACATATTTATGTTCCTCTATTTCACGTACTAATAGTTCTAGAGCTGATTCTCCTGTTAGAGGATCTCTTGGTTCTATTAAATCCTTTGCTGCAGTTTCTTGCATCTTTCTTTCTTCTTCCTTATCCTTTTTTAATCTAAAATAAAACAAAATATTTTTACACACCACAAGAATAACCAAAAAAATTCTGCACCTACCCCGAAAAAAAATATTTAAAAAAAAAAATAATCAGAGATCATTTCCTTAATGAGATGTGCTATAATGTCAAGACTGGCTTTCATGTTTTCCCTCATCCAATAATATTTAAGAAACCACAACAATTTCATGGAACCATTGACTATAAAGCCCTTTCTACTTTCAAACACGGAAATCTTTATATTTAGCATCTAAATAAGTTTTCTAACTCAGATCATTTTAAATTACTGTCAATTCAGAAAGAATACATTGTGCATTTATTAATGTAATTTATATAAAAATAGACAAAGATACTAGACAATCTACTACGATTTTAGGAAATGTTGCATACAAATGATGCTACCGAAATTTAAGAAGAGAGATTTAGTTTTTTCAAAAGCTATCCCATGGCAAGTTTTGATATAATAAAAGCTGTGATTTTTTATCACCTTTTAAATTTTTGGTTGTTTTAAAAAAAATGTTTAATATGTACAGCACAAAACAGCAGCATTTGGAGCAATATTTAGATATAAAATGTTTCTGGAACATCATTATAGTGCTCAGCATGTGTGACTCTGTATTGCAAAACTTTACTTCTTTCACATCACTTTCCTTAATATTATAAGACTAAAAGATGTTGATCTATTAGCATTATTTGCTGTACTTAACAAGTTCTTTGTCTTCCAGGTAAACACAAAATATGATAAAATAAATATAAAGTTAAAGTACTATTATTCATGAATTTGAATATTTGTGTTTTTGAAACACCATTGATTTGTTAGTTTTTAAATTTGTTTTCAAACTTTAAGCATAAAATAGTTCATGGAAAACACGAATTCCATTAAATATTAAAATGTGTGGTTTTGAAAATCCATGACATATAAGCATCTCACAAATAAAAACATTTTTCATTTCTGTTATTCAAACAAATTACTTCAATATTCTTTTCCTGTGTTCCTGACGTCTAATATTTTCTTTAACTTGTTCTCTCTCTAAATCCATAAATAGTCGTCTGTATGTTGCATGTTCACTTTTCTGTCGTCTTTTTTCTTCCTCAGACTGAACCCCATTGTAAATATTAGGTACCTGCTTGACTCTCGGAACATTCCTCATAACTTGTGTTCCTTTACACGTTGTTGCTGAAAGAGAAACAATGAATATTTTATATTTCTGTGGTGATTATCCCTTATTAGATATATATATATGCTAATTACTGCTATTTATATACAGCTATCTGTTAAGGTTTTAATGAAGTACAAATGTATTAAAAGATAATATATTGAAATTTGTGTATCCGTGTTTAAATAATGAAATCTAGTGGTTATTGTAGAGGTTATTGGCTATATTTGTATTTCGTTTGATATTTTTAGCATAAATCAGGCCTGTGATTTTCTCTTTTGAATTGTTTTACAGTTTGTCACACATACTATATGGTATGGGTTTTGCACATAGTTGAAGGTTGTACAATGCATTAAAGTTAAATAATTTACATCTTCATCCTTTGGTTGATTGGCTATCATATTATTACATGAGCTTATTACAAAGCTTTTGTCATAACTCCTTATACATTTGTGTAACAGCAAAATTTAAGATCAAACACACTAGTTTATGTTAAAGGTTATATTTATGCAAATTTTCTCATTATTGTAAAAAACTTCTGTATTTTATTTATAACAATACTACTAGACAAAATACAATTTTACCACTTTTTCTGCTAATCCTCTCTTCTCTTGTTTCTCCTTTACTTGGTTCCTTATCAAAGTGGACAACCTTCAACCTACTTGTTTCTATATTTTCTTTTTCCTCATCTGTCAACACAGTGTACAAATAGTTTTAAATTCAATGTCTTTATAACACTGCTTTTTATAAAAAAATAACCCTTTACTTGACTTGAACTTGATACAATCTGTATAGTCAAACTATAAAATAATTAAGCTTTAGAATAATTATTGATAGGTTGAATCATAGGTATTGTTTTTGTATAGCACCAAAGTATCAAATAAATCCGCGATCCAATGTCACTTAAATTTTATCATGTGCTTAATAGTCCCAACAAATATTAGGCATTATGAAAGCCTACTGTGTTTTTAAGAAATAATGGTTCCTCATTATTATTTCCTCAAATTTTAGAGACCCCACCCCCTTTTCATAAAATAAATGTACTATAAGAAAAACAAGGTAAAAAACATAATAAAACACAAATGTTCTTTTAAGTAGTCACATTTGCCTGCAATCATGTCTCAATTCTTATGTATTATCATAACTACTCACTTACTTTAAATCAGTGTATGAGGAAAGCAAAATGCCTACGTATAGGAAAACATAAAATGTCTTAAAAACAAAACAATACCTTTTATAGCAAATTATTAGATGCTAAATCTTGTAAAATCAACAAAAAAACATGTACAGGAGTTTGTACACCATGGCTCATTAATATATATTTTACCTTGTAAATCTAAAGACTCGCTATCTTCTATATCAAATACTTCAGGATCAGCTGTACTTCTGGAAGCAGGGTGCTGTAACATAAACAACATTAGTCAACCAAAATGTATAGATACATTGCATGACTATGCTTTAAAAGTCTTTTGGTCCAAAAAGTCCAAATTAAATAAATATTCAAAGTGAAACAAATTGTAAAGGGTTTGGAGGAACTCTTTGGTGCCTACTATTACTGCTCTAAGAGTAAAAGTGTAATGTTGGCTGCCAAAAACTAAGTCCACTTTATCAGTAAAACACATAAAAAATTAAACAAGAATAAAATATTTCTTCAGTTGTTATTTTGATATTGAAGTAAATTCTGTCCAAGTTTCATAACATTCCATAAAGGTTAGACAAAGTTATGTTGTCTTAAATATTTAATCCCAGACTACCTTAATAATAACTGCCAAAAAAAGTCGATTTATCAGTAAAATAAGGAGAAATTTTGCATCAGACAATATCTCTTAATCATAAAAAGCTTCTTACACAGTTTCATAAAATCCATGAAGTTTTTACATTCTAATAGTTAAATATGGAAAAATAAAAAATTAAAATTAAAATTAAATTAGAAAAAAACCTTCTGTTTGAGTTTCATACTATTCTTATTTTACTTATTTTAAATTTAAAAACATCTTCAAAAATCTTTTGAAGATGTTTTTAAATTTTATACTTAATGAAGCATGCATTCAATGTAAAAACTTCCCTTATATTACAAAGTATGAACAATTTATTTGGTTAATGTCATGTGAGTCTGAAAATGTTAATATGTCAGTGTCAAGATTTATAAGTACTTGTTTTGAAATAAGAGAAAATTTTCATTCCAGTAACTAACTAAATATACATGTAGTAGTGATTTTATTTTTATGTATTAGAGAGGGCTAATATTCTATTTTATTTATTTTCAAACACCATCTGGTATGGAGTATAGTTATTTAATCATTTATTTTTAATGAAATATATCTTAAAAATTACTATATAATTAATACTATATATATATGTATATGCTCGGAAATGGGCCCTTTAATTGGATTCAATAAATATTCTTATTCTTATTCTTCTTACTATTCCATGAAGGTTTGACAAATGTTTAATCTGATTTTTTCTGATCACAAATATTTTTTGTTAGTCTTACATCTCTTGTACTTGAAACTTTCCATACACCTCCAGGTAAATCATCTGCCATGAAATCATCAGTAATTATTTGTTTCTTTGCCAACTGTCTTCTTGCTTGGTTTGTTAGTTTATGAACCTGAAAAAAATTATTCCTTAATATAGATAGTTCCAACATGACAAAAGATAAATTTTGAAACTAAATTGATAATGATAACTGATCAAATTTCCAATTTTTACAGATATCTATTAATTAATAAATCAAAACTAATCATTGATTTGTCATTATTTTATTTCTATTTTTGTAGTTAACACTGTTTTATCTAAAGACTGAAACATAGACAATAACACAATCCAAGATACTTAATGACAATTTCATTCACCGCTTAATGTCAAGTTTAAAATATAAGGACTGTTGGAAAACTAAGTTTGATATTTTATTTCAACCATAATAAAATGCTCCGCAGGGCGCAGCTTGATACGACCGCAGAGGTCGAACCCTGAACAGTTGGGGCAAGTATGGACACAACATCCAAGCTTGATACAGCTCTGAATTTGGATTGTGATTAAATATTTGACACAGCATAGGTTTCTGACACATAATGAATGTGGTCTAAGAACTTAAAAATTCTAAATTGGACATTCACCTATTATGGTCCAATATCCAAAATCTAAATACATGGTTAGATTCAGCATATCAAAGAACCCCAAGAATTCAATTTTTGATGAAATCAAACAAAGTATAATTTTGGACCCTTTTGACCTCAATGTGGACAAAGTTGATAACGGGGCCCAAAAATCAAAAATCTAAATACATGGTTAGATTCAGCATATCAAAGAATCCCATATATTCAATTTTTGTTGAAATCAAACAAAGTTTAATTTTGGACCCTGATTTGGACTAACTTGAAAACTGGGCCCATAATCAAAAATCTAAATACATGTTTAGATTCAGCATATCAAAGAACCCTAAGAATTCAATTTTTGTTAAAATCAAACTAGGTTTAATTTTGGACCCTTTGGACCTTAATGTAGACCAATTTGAAAACGGAACCAAAAATTAAGAATCTAAATACACGGTTAGATTCGGCATATCAAAGAATCCCATATATTCATTTTTGATGACATCAAACAAAGTTTAATTTTGGACCCTTTGGACTTCAATGTGGACCAATTTAAAAACGGGGCCCAAAATCCAAAGACTTAATACACGGTTAGATTCAGCATATTAAAGAACCCCAAGAATTCAAGAATAAAACCCCATTGAAATTGGTCAAGAAATAAGCAATTTATACGAAGTATCTTCTTTTGCACAATACTGTGCAATTGAATATTTCTTGCTATTGCGCAATACTGTACAATTGACAATTTCTTGCTATTGCGTGATATTGTGCTATTGGATATTTCTTGCTATTGCGTAATACTGTGCAATTGAAGATTTCTTGTGCAATTGAAAATTTCTTGCTATTGCACAATACTTATTATATAATAATTTACACATCCTGTTTGGTGTGTATCTCCTACCATATCATTATTATTTGCTTTTAAATATAAATCAGAAATAACCAACTTAAAATGGAAAATTTTAAAAGAAAAAAAAAAGGGAAAAAAAAAAAATCCCCCCCCAAATTTTTTGAACCCCCTTATGATTCATCACCCCCAAACTCAATCCCAGCCTTCCCTTTGTGGTATGGTACCTTGCAGTACAATTTCAGAGAGATCCATACACTTGAACACAAGTTATTGTCGGGAAACTAGAAAAATGTGTTTTTTGGCCCCTTTTTAGCCCCAAATTCCTAAACGTTTAGGGCAATTACCCCCAAACTCAAACCCAGCTTTCCCTTTGTGATATGGAACCTTGTAGTACAATTTCAGAAAGATTCATAAACTTACACACAAGTTATTGTCCTGGAACTAGAAAAATGCTTGTTTTTTGCCCCTTTTTGGCCTCCAATTCCTAAAATATTGAGGCAATTACCCCCATCATCAATCCCAGCCTTCCCTTTGTGGTATGGTACCTTGCAGTACAATTTCAGAGATCCATACACTTGAACACAAGTTATTGTCATGAAACTAGAAAAATGCTTGTTTCTTGCCCTTTTTTTGGCCCCTAATTCCTAAAATTTTGAGGCAATTACCCCCAAAATCAATTCCAGCCTCCCTTTAGTGATATGGAACCTTGTGGTACAATGTCAGAGAGATCCATACACTTACACACAAGTTATTGTCTGGAAGTTACAAAAATGCTTATTTTTGGCCCCTTTTTCCTTAACTGTTGGTACCATAACCCCCAAAATCAATCCCAACCTTCCTTTTGTGGTAAAATTTCATAGAGATCCATTCACTTAAACTAAAGTTATAGTGCGAAAACTAATGTGTCTTCGGACGACGACGCTATACCAATGTCATACCAATATACGACCGCAAAATTTTTGCGGTCGTATAAAAATGTGCACTGTAACCATTCAGTTCAAGAATTCAGATTTATTTATAGACGAATAACTTTATTATTTTTACAAAATTATTTCAAAAAGACAAGCTATTTACTGGATATGAACTTTTTACTGGAAGCAAACATTTTCCTGTAAAAAGACTATTAACCTGTTACTTTTTTTCGCCTCATGAAATAGTTGGTGACTTGGGAGACAATTAACTTGTTAACAGTTATTATGTGTATAATAATGTATTTGACAAGAATTCTAATTGTTAATATGTTTAGAACATCTATGAAGTTGTGATGCATTTATGATTTAAGGACCTTAATTTCAGGCTTATCAAGTAAATTATGCAAAAAATTGTCTTCTTTTTCCTCTATAGTAATACTTTTTTTCGCCTCATGAAATAGTTGGTGACTTGGGAGACAATTAACTTGTTAACAGTTATTATGTGTATAATAATGTATTTGACAAGAATTCTAATTGTTAATATGTTTAGAACATCTATGAAGTTGTGATGCATTTATGATTTAAGGACCTTAATTTCAGGCTTATCAAGTAAATTATGCAAAAAATTGTCTTCTTTTTCCTCTATAGTAATACAATGTACAACATACCACAAGATTTCAATAATATATATCTGAATGAATTTATCTGCTCTTAGTGGTATTTAAAACATCTAATCTTCAATACAAAAATGTTTGATTAAATGTGAAATCTTGTATATATATATATATAATTACCTCATTTGTCTGATCACAGAAAGCTCTATAATCTGTGCCATCATCTTGCAGTCTTCTCCCTATGTAAACATATTAAATGAAACACATTTCATTGACAAAATATTAAAGTTACATATACATGCATCAACTACAAGAAGAAGAATTTTATTTTCCTTTCATTCAGATTAGAAAAGAACATACCTTAATATGTTTTAGTAATTAAAAATATCTGTTGATTTTACTTTTTTCTAAAAGTCCACATTATGCATTGTTAACGCAACTGGAAATCTTATAATCATAAAGTGAAAAAAAATATCTGTAAAGTAGCTCTTAAATTTTGAACTGTTAACTGCAGGACATAAAATCATTAACTTTGCAGCATTTTTTACAACATAAGTTTCCAATATACAAAATATATTACCATCTGGAGCTGACTTTGGCCTCATTCCCAATGAAGTATTATCCTTTCTAACAAGACAGCTATCTTTCCGATGAGCCATATCACCAAAAGCACTTTGTCTTACAACTTTATGTTCATGTTGAACCTGTAATATACAATGCACTCCATAAATAAAGAACAAGTTTTTTTGTCCAAAGTGAAAAACAATGTTGACCAATGAACAATGAAAAAAGGTTAATTTTCTTTCTGTATCTGACAAGTCTGATACATGCTATTTCATTTTTTAATATTTTACTGCATTAAATGTTTCCATGATTATTTTCAAACATGAAGAATATGCGCATATTAAATGAATAAATAAATATTTGAAAAAATTTTGGTTATAGCAATTCTTTTAGTTACAAACAAATGGAATAAATACTTATTAAAGATGCCAGGCTTATAATTTGGAATGCCTGACAGGTGTTTTGTCTACATGAAACTCATTAGTGCCCTTGAATCAAATAAAACAGTGAACACAAGTATTTGAAGACAACAAAAGTAATTGTACAACAGCTGGCTACATTCAAACCTAACTTGTGCCTGTTATTTCTATTTCCATTATTAAGATCATTCCCAGCTGTTCAATACTTAAATATAACTTATTCATCTAGACATCTACACATGTACATGTAGATGTATATATTAAATGATGGATGTGTGGACACGGACATGTATATTGTCTGATTGGAGAATGTTGACAATTTGTACAGGGGTGGATTCTGGTGGGTGTAAGCAGGCACTAGCCACTCTAAAATCTAAAATTACTTTATATTGTGTTGTGTGGTAGGCAAAAGTGGAAACTTTTCTATATTGAAATAGTAATACAGATACTCGAGGAAGTCGCAAAACATGAAATATTCAAAAAATATATAAAGGCACTTCGGGGGGCAATAACGAAAAAAAAAAAAGAAAAGATTTTTCTAAAATTTTCAGGGTTAATATATATATAGATTCTGGTTATGATGTGATGATAATTTTGCAATTACGCTTTTAAACTATCTCCTATATTTTTTTTTAAATAACAGTCAAAATCTGCAAAAAACTATTGCAGGGGCATTCACTCCAAAGCACTTAACAGGTCAATAAATTTTCTCCAAATTTCAGGGTAGACACATCTTGTCATGCTGAACCTTTTGCACTTACAGTACACTTTTAACATACATGTAGCTCCTATATTTTTCACGTTTCCAGTCAAAAACTGCAAAAATTATTATTTCTGGGGCAATAACTCAAAAGCATGCCCAATTTCTCCAATATTCAGGATAGATTCATCTTGTCTTGCTGTTCCTTTTTGCAATTGTACACTTTTAAAATGTGTCCTATAGTTTATGAAATAATGACAAGGAAATGTCAAATAAGTAAAACATTTCAAGGGCTATAACTGTAAAACAGGTGGATAGATTTTTCTAAAATTTTCAGGGTAGACAGAACTTGTGCTGTATTTTCCCCCTATCAGCTTCTTTCTATTTAGTTCATGTATAGTTTAAGAGATATTAACCAAAAAGCTTTAGTTTGTTTTCAAACAAACTCTTTTCCTCACTGTGGCATAATGACACAGAACACTTATGCAAACATACATTGTATATCTATTGGCAGTTAATAAGCCAGTTATTCAAATTTTTGTTTATATAATGAACACTGATCATATCTTTCTGCTTTATTCAGAAAGATATGATCAAGGATTTGCATTGTATATTAAATGAGTTTGAGTGTGTATTACATGTATTTTAGTTCAAAATACAAATACCATGTACCTTTTTATGGGTGAATGCAGCTAAAGTGTCCATTTTTTTATATACATGCCCATCTATGTTCAAATTCTAGCTGGAACACTAGTACTGTATAGTATAGTAAAAAGTAATCAAATTCAGTAAAAATACAAAATGTGATCACTTCTGTCAACAATGCTGGCAATTAAACTTTAGAACAGATCTAGAGTACATACTTGAATTGTACATTCATACATGAAAGTTGTTAAACACAATTAATCATACCAGTGTTCTAGAATTCCCATTTCCCGTCACCCATGGCAAGTTGATTTAGGTCACGGGAAAGTGGAAATTCAAACCTTTGTTGTCCGTGGGCAAGTAAAATTAAATTACAGAAACTTCCTATTCATGCAGATCAAACGGTCGATGAAACAATTGTATTCTTTTATTTCAATCAAAGTCTCAAAGCAAGATCATTGTTGTTGGTGTAAATCATGCAGGGGTTCTAAAGTCTAGGGGAGAGAATCTCAGAAACGTGAGCACGTGTTTCGTGATCACCGTCATAAATACGCTTGCTAGCTAAGCAAGGAAAATCCGCCATTTTAAGCATCCATCTGATCTAGACTCAAAAAATTAATATCCGGAATGCAAACGGTAAAAGATTTAATATCCGGATCTCAAATTCGTGATTTTTTGCTTGTAATATTATCACTATTTTGTGCCAATACATTTGAATTACTGATGTAATGTCACAAATAGACATGTGTCAAACTAAAATTAATATATTTCAAAATAAAATTTATATATTCCATCAAATGTTTTGTATATCTAGATGAACATGATATTGAATTATCAACACAATCACAAGCTAGTTAGACAAACTAATTAATTTCAAAGGAAATAACATTTTAGTTCATAATTTCAAATTGAACTACATGCATAAACATGCATTAAAAGGAATAATAAAATTATGAAAACATTTTCAAAATAGTATAAAATTAAGGGAAAGTTCATTAAACTTGTGGGAAAGTGAATTTTTGATACCAACTTTCCCGTGGAAAGTTGCAAATGTATAAAAATCCTAGAACACTGCATACTTTTTATTATTCTAATACAATATTTTTAACAAATATCAACTGCATTACATTTGTAATACCAAACTTACAGCTTTAATTGTGTTGTCTTGCTGTTGCTGCCTTTTTGCCTTTTCCAGCATACTGACTCTATGTTTGACGTCTTCCCTGAATCTTTTCAGTCTAGCATTTTTCTCTTCTTGCATTTTCTGAATTCTTTCCTGTTCTTCATGGGCTGCATGCTGTAATTAAAAACCTTTATACTTATATTTTAAATAACACTTATTACGATAGGTATTTCAGTACCTTTAAACGGCTGTCTTTTGACTTTCAATGGACAATTGGTTCAGTAAAGATGAAGCATTTACCTGACCAATTTAAATTTTTACTGGACCAAATAAATCTCAACAAACATCTACAATAATCATGATAACTTTTTTCCCTTTTGTCACATTGGGCGTCAATACAAAGACGCATCTACATGTATGTGCCTTAAGGAGAACCCTGATTTTTGCCATTAAAAGATATTATATATTAATATTGCAAGCAAAAAATTAAATGCTTACACAGCACTTTCCTTATTAAACAAATGTTAAACTTTATCAGGTAAGCTAGAAGTCTCCAAAGTTTGTAAATGTACATTGTTTTAAGCCAGTGAGTTTAGAAGTCGGACAACTTGATTTATAATGAACACGTTAAAAAATGATAATGTAGAGGCCTGTTTCATTCATGTCCTACATTTGTAATTTAATAGGCTGTACATGTTTTTATATGGTTTCAAATTTTACAGCTGTTTATACACTATAGATTTTGCTCATTATTGAAGCCATACAGTGTACTATAATTGCTAAATTCCACATCATTTGGACTCTGTTTCATAGCTGTTCTCTGACATTCGCAATCATACCAAATCTCATTAATTTAAATTAAGAGTTACATGTACAATGTAGCTGTACAGTATAGCAACTGATATATTTTTGAAGTTTTCCTAATAACCTTTTTAAAAAATGTAGGAGTTGTTGGTAAGAAAACCACTAACATATTTTTTTTAATTGGTGAAATGAAATTTCACCTGACAATTAGTCTTACTTGGGGGACGACCTTTTGGTATGGTACAATGTAATCTTGGGGAGGGGGGAAGAGGATTTTTTTCAGACAGAATATTCATTTGCACCTTTTGCAAGTCTCGCTTATCTTTACTAAAATAATTCTTCCAAATGTAAAGCATGAAGTTCAAATGGATTCCCAGTTGTTAGAAGCCATCACAATTTAAAAGATACAGAAACCATTAGAAATTAAAGAATACATGTACCAACAGAAAAAAAGAAATGGAAAAGAAAGAAGGCTCTATGCCAAATGCACTTGTGGCGTCAAAGCTTAAATAATAGCAGCATGTAAAGAAATAAAACAATTCGATTACCCACCCACATGATCAGACATGTCGACTTGCAAGATTTTTAGTGCTTACCACCGCTTCTGATGAATAAGCGCTTGCTGGTTGAACCCAAGCACCAACAGCGCGGACTTCAACATTTCTGTTACCCATTACGTCTGTACTGATAACAGGTTTACATATTTTTCTAAGCCCATTATTGACATTTTTCACAGTAAAGGTTTCTTTGGACTTTTTAGACGCCATTTTGACGCTTTTTTTGTGTCTACATCAATTGAATGTTTGATCTAGGTCAATTTGGCGATCAAGCCAATTCCCCAAACCATCCACTACCGTAAAGAAGCACAACAAAACATCCGGGGGGGGGGGGGGGGGGGGGGGGGGGGGAATGATAGGGGCCCGTCCCCCCTTTAGTGGGAAAAAATTGGTTGAATATATAAGGAATCACGGAAGCATAACTGGAGTGGCCCCCTTAGGTCAGTTAGTGCCCCCCCTTTATGAAAAGTTCTGGATCCGCCACTGGTTATAGATTTCATAGTTAAGTTTTAAGGTCTAAAGGTACACCACCCTTTGTATTATAAATTGTGGTAAGTTTTTTGTCTGTCTAGTTTATACTCTTCCACATACTAGAAGAATTTGAAAGTGATCTCACGGTTGCGATCATCGGAATAACTTGTTGGTCCTTCTTCATAAAAGATACACACAATTAGTTCTGTATGGGCTTTAAATTTCTAGCTTGGCTATACTGTTAGTTGTTGCACGCTAGTATTGTCAAAACATTGAATTCCTATGGGTAATAACTTTGTCGATCTTTTTCTTTACTGTTATGGATCCAAACTGGCAAAACTTTACTAAGATGAAATAAAAAAAAAAAACTGAAAATCAGTTTAATAATTGAGATTATTAATAAAATGAATAGCTGATGCAATGATGATGTACTTATTATTGACAATCCGCCGGTTTTATTTAAACATTTTGAATTTATATAAGTATCTAAAAGAAATTCAGATCTAATTGAAGTTGTACAACTAGCTGCTGCTAGAATTGTATCTGGGCTTCGAAAGGGAACACCTAGATGGAAAATATACAAGGAGTTAGGTTGGGATTCAATCCAGAATAGGCGACAGAAAAACAAATTATCGTTTCTTCATAAAACCTTTTCTGGAGATATTCCTAATTATATTGCTGCTGATGTCTTTGGTTGCTCAGATTTAAGTATTGACGAAAACACAGAGATATTTACATATGTCCAACAATATAAACATGAAACTGGAAGATTTTTATGATATTTGATGTTATAATATAACTGTTTAAAATTAGTCTATAACCACAGTGTACCACTCTTTAGTCTTAATTAAAGACAAACCAATGATCTAACACTAAAACAATCAATTGTGTTAGCATCTTTTTGCAAATAAATTTATTAATATTCTATTTCATATTTTCTATTAATAATATTATGTTATTAAAAAAATCAAGAAATTAACAGTCTTTGTAATAAGACGGTATACTAAATTACTTATATATTGCAAAATAAGCGGCAATAATTCTTATTATTTATACAAATAGAACAACTTTGTTGCAGTGAGTTTTTGAATTTGAGTAAATATCACTTAAAAGATTTATTTGATTCGTTTCCATTTCTTATCAATGTGGTAAAAATTTGACATCATCTTCAGTAGTGAACTTGCAAGGGATTGCCTCCCCTGACTCACTGCAATAATGAATGATCTATGAATTATCAGAAATATATTATATACTATCAGATTATTCAATCCATCTTGTATGGGAAAGGATTTGTATAGGCGTTGCCTTTTGTCCAATCCCTTTGTTTAAATGTACGTTTGATATTTGAACAATAAAATATTTTGAATTGAATTGAAATTCAGTTTAATAAGAAAGAACAACCAATAGTGTCCACTAATTTTTTCGACATAACTGTACTATAGAACAAAGTAACTGTATTAGTACAAATGGGAAAATCTGTACCTCAAAAGAGATGATTTCAACTTTCCCTACAAAACAGGTTTCCTTTTTCGAAGGTTTTTCGAAGGAGATGCATTGATTGTTCATGAAAATGTTTGTGAATAAAAAGAAATCTATGAATAGAATTTCGAAATTAAATATGCCAAGATAGGTTTTAAAATATGATTAAGAAAATAAAAAGGAAAAATGGTGTCAGCGACCTTGTTTTCTTGCTACAAGTAAAAATTGAAAATTTCTCTATCATTCCTTTATAAATATTTTACTATTTGAGTTATCTGCCCTTAAATAGCTAAGTTGACAATTTGATTCGAACAAACACAAATATTTGGTATTTGATAAATCAGTCTGAATAATGCAAAAATTACTTATTTTTCTTTATTCCAATAAACAGTCTAACCCATTAATTGCCAATCTGTCTCAAAATTCGCAGATTTAAGCAAAGAACTAGACCTATTGTGAACTGCTACTTTACAATCCAAGATGGCGGTATACAGTTAATCTGCATTCAAAATGATATATTTATCAAACAAACAGAACACAAATTGGTGAGTCTGAACTGGGACATACTATATTTTAATATAATAGTCCCAGGTACATGTATGCAGCGCTTTAATTTCTAGATGCTATTAAAATCGAGAAAGTTTTTACATCTTTAAACAGCAAGGAATACCAGCTTGATATAATAACTAATTCAATCAAAATGGTTTTTCTTTCGAATGTCTGGCGAGATTAACCTCTTATAAATATACACGATTTCAATAAAAGAGAGGCGAAGCCACTCGTGATGGCGTCCGTAAAATTTACGAAGGGATGATTTCAACTTCAGCAATTGGAACTCTTGGTTTAATAGCTTCCTTGTGAGGAGCAACCATCTATCAATTAAGGAAATCATGACAGAAAACACATGCCCTGGAACATCGTATCAACTGGGAGATATATATACTCCGTATGCAGGCGCTGCTGGAATGTTGCTACATAGAAATGGAAAATTCTAAAAATAAAAAAAATAAATGAAAATGCAGACTCAGACGTCAGGAAACTGAGGAGGTTGTTTTTTATTTCGTTATTTTCTTTAGCGGCAGTATTCTACAAACAGCTGTTGATACCTCAGTAGCGAGCATATTTTATTCATGTTTTTGTTCAAGTTAGTAGCCATCATGTTTGATAGCTGCAATGTACCAGTTTTGTATTGTGACTCTATTGTGTGTTTTCCTTTAAGAACAGGTATATATATATATATATAAATAAAAAGATGTGGTATGAGTGCCAATTAGACAACTATCCATCGAAATCACAATGTGTAAAAGTAAACAATTATAGGTCAAAGTACGGCCTTCAACACGGAGCCTTGGCTCACACCGAACAGCAAGCTATAAAGGACCCCAAAAAGACTAGTGTAAAACAATCTAAACAGGAAAACCAACGGTCTAATCTATATAAAAAAAAAAAAACGAGAAACGAGAAACACTCATGAACCACACCAACAAACGACAACCACTGAACAACAGGCTCCTGACTTAGGACAGGTGCATAAAAATGCAGCGAATTTAAACGTTTTAACTGGCGCCAACCTTCACCCTGACCTGAAACAGTGGTATAACATTACAACATAAAATAAAATAACAATTGAAATGGCTTAACTCGATCTAAAAGACAATACACAAAAACAAGTAAATATACACTGAACGAATAAGTTTGATCTATGACACAATATAAATAAAAAGATGTTTCAATGTCAAAAAGACAACTTTAACATAGGACAAAATGGCGTTAAATAAAGTAACGTATACAGGTAAATTTGAATATAATAATTTTGTTGTTAGGAGTACAGAAACATTTTTTACAAAATAAATTTGTTATTCATAGTATGAGTACAGAATTGAAAATATTTTCGTCATACTAAATACTTATCAAAGGTAGTACATATTAGAAATAGTAAGACGAGATATAACACAAAATAAGTAAACATTGAATAACAGAAATGCATTACAAATTGTGTCAGCAGGTCAAATTAACACGAAATGACGATTTGAGAGTACTCGCAGTTACCGAAAGCTTGTTAAAAGCCAAAAACAATAATAAAAAATCATGCATCAGAGACTAAAATCAATTAAAACACATCCCAGACAGGGATTTAGTGTTTTAACGCCATGGACAGTCAAAGAAGACAAGACTTGTGCAATGCCAAAATAAAAGTAACGACAGGCAGTAGGATAGTTAGGATTTAACCTTATAATAAATATGTATGATGTTATGTATAGATAAAACAATTTCTAAATAGAAAATTAACGTGGATGTGTATATATACATCCCCAAAAAACATTCGAAAAAAATACAAATTTAGTTATGTTTTAATTTGTTGATGACAAAATCGATGTTAGTGCCAATAAAAACAAAATTCAAAGATCTTATTACATCATTAATAAGATAACCTTTACTAATAATTTTGTTTAAAGGTTCGATAAGTTTACACGGATCACATAGTGATTTCCGCGCTTTTAATACAATATTACCGTAAAAATTTAGGATGTGAAATACCATTTTTAAGTTTTCTACAGGTACAGCCAAATTTACTAATCAAATCTTTGTACCTATGAAAGTATTTAGTAAATTTTTAAAGTAATTTATGGTAACGAAATCCTTGACTTAATAATTTACCAGTGATACATTGATTACGTTCGTTAAAATCTATGACATCACTACACACACGGGCATAACGAACGAGTTGGGATATACTAACACCATATGATGGAGCCAAATGAACATCGCCGTCTAAAAAAGGAAATTAACAATAGGGAATGAAAAATCGTCTCTTTCGTCGTAAATTTTTGTATGGAGTTTCCCGTTAGAAATTGAAATGTCTAAATCTAGCAAAGGACAACTACTGCTGTTTATGTTAGATTTATTTAAAATAAGTTCCTTTGGGTAAATTTCGGTAGTATATTTAGAGAATTCTGGATTATTTAATGAAAAAATATCATCAAGATAACGGTAGGTATTGTTGAATGAGTCAACTAAATGTAACAATGACGTGTCTTTACTGATTTTGGCCATAAACTGTGATTCATAGCAATATAGGAATAAATCTACTTTTAAAGGGGCGCAATTTGTGTCAATAGGAATACCTGCTACCTGTCAATACACTTTATCGCCGAAACGTACATATATTTTGTCCAGGAGAAAATTTAAAGCTTCAATCATATCTTCACATTTCCAGTAAGTGTATCTAGCATACTTTCCTTTTACGTTACAGAAAAAGCTGTAAACG